ATTCGGAGGAATCTGAATGGATGTTGGATAGTGGTGCGACCTATCATGTGTGTCCTAGAAGGGAATGGTTCTCTAGTTTTGAGAATCTGGTGAATAGTGGTTGTAGGCTGTCTAAAAATCACAATAGATAGTTGATCCCCCATCAAACACCGATGATGGAAGTTACAATCTGACGACTTCCAGTAGGCTACAATTTGAGGACCTTCACGACAACTGATGAAAACTCCAATTCAATAGCCTTCACAATCAACATCGGGAGTTACAATCTGACGACTCTCATATTTTCAAGGAGCCAAGACGAAGATTACAAGAGGACGATCTGTGCAAAGCTCTAGCAAAAGAGACTACAAATTGACGGTCTCTTCATATTAAAATGCAGATATCTCTCAAACCGTAAGGAATTTGGCAAAACGGAGGAAGCGAACCGAAGCCTTTGGCTCGGTTCAGATGGCTCCGTCTCGTCGAGATAGCCGATTTTCATATATAATTCGTCTAATTCCGACTTACGGTTTGAAAGTTATGACCTGTTCTTCGCAGCAAATTATGTTCTGAAGTCCGTCTGCAAGACTGGACTTCGTCAGAACATTGGACTTAGCCTGAAGCCCGCCAAGCCCGCCTAAGGTTCGCCTCTGCATTACAGAGTCAAAACGCCCAGGCTTAACTCTGCGTTTTCAACATCAAAACGCAGAGTTAATCTCTAAAATAGCACAACTGTGCGTTTTCAGCCTTTAAACAGGCCAACTCTGCGTTTTCAACATCTAAACGCAGAGTTAATCTCTAAAACAGCACAACTGTGCGTTTTCAGCCTTTAAACAGGCACAACTCTGCGTTTTCAGCCTAAAACGCAGAGTTCATCTCTAAAACAGCACAAACTGTGCGTTTTTAGCCTGAAACAGGCCAACTGTGCGTTTACAGGCCCAGCTGTGCGTTTTCAGCCTCAGCTGTGCGTTTTCAGCCTCAGCTGTGCGTTTTCAGCCTCAGCTGTGCGTTTTCAGCCTCAGCTGTGCGTTTTCAGCCTCAGCTGTGCGTTTTCAGCCTCAGCTGTGCGTTTTCAGCCTCAGCTGTGCGTTTTCAGCCTCAGCTGTGCGTTTTCAGCCTCAGCTGTGCGTTTTCAGCCTCAACTGTGCGTTTTCAGCCCAGCTGTGCGTTTTTCAGCTCCAGCTGTGCGTTTTCAGCTCCAGCTGTGCGTTTTCAGCCTCAACTGTGCGTTTACAGGCCCAGCTGTGCGTTTTCAGCCTCAACTGTGCGTTTTCAGCCCCAGCTGTGCGTTTTTCAACCTCAACTGTGCGTTTCAGGTCCAGAAACGCACAGTTCGAGCCCAGAACGCTGTTTTCAGCGTTTAACTCGTTCA